AAAAAAAAAAAAATTGTCATACAAATTTGTCCATAAAACAACAAAGAGCTCAGTATGATGCAAGCAATGCTTGACAACCCTATTCCTCTCTAATCAGGACTCTATCATATTCCTATCTTCATATCTTTTTCCGACCTTCTTCACCATGTGGCTCTTTAGACATTCCCAAGTGGCCTCATCTTAATAAATCAGAAGTGATCTAATATTAAGTTCCCCATTTCCTTCTCCATCCACTTCAAGACATCTTAATGTATTTTAATAGCAAACTTATAGGAACAGCACAGAAGACAGACAACATGTAGAACAACTCAAAAAAGTATCATGAAAAGATGGCATCTACTGAATGATAAAAATGCTACAGACACCATTTAGTTGCCATCAATAAGAAAGTTACTTGTTTTTTAAAAATCCAGGCCAGATGCGGTGGCGCATGCCTGTAATTCTGGCACTTTGGGAGGCCGAGATGGGTGGATCATAAAAAGTCAGGAGTTCGAGACCAGCCTGACTAACATCGTGAAACCCCATCTCTACTAAAAATACAAAAATTAGCCAGGCGTGGTGGTACACACCTGTAGTCCCAGCTACTTGAGAGACTGAGGCAGGAGAATCTCTTGAACCCGGGAGGCAGAGGTTGTAGTGAGCCGAGATCAAGCTACTATGCTCTAGCCTGCTGGCATTATCCAGAAAATTTAAACAGGTTTATTTATAATTGTTACAAAGTTGAACTGCTGAAATTTAACACTGGCTTGCATTAATGCTTTAGACTGTCACATCTATATTAAAAATTCACACAAAGGCCAGGCACAGTGGTATGCACCTATATAGTCCAACTCAGCTTCTCAACAGGCTGAGGCGGGAGGTTCACTTGAGCCCAAGAGATTGAGGTTGTAATGAGATATGATGGTGCCACTGCATTCCAGCCTCAGCAGCAGAGCAAGATTATCCCTAAAAAAAAATTCACACACAAATTGAACATGGAAATACTGCCCATACCTGATTTCTGTCCCTATTTTTTCTACTCACAATCATATAATAGGTGCCTTTTCATCCCATGGGGAAAAGAAATTCTAACAAGAAGAGAATTTTTGTTTTTTATTGAAATGTTTTCCACCATAATGGCATTTTTTTTTTTTTTTTTTTAAATCTGAGACAAGGTCTTGCTCTATCACCCAGGCTGGTAGCTACATTTTAAAAAGTAAAAAGGGCCAGGTGCGGTGGCTCACACCTGTAATCCCAGCACTTTGGGAGGCCAAGGAGGGCAGATCATGAGGTCAGGAGATTGAGGCCATCCTGGCCATGGTGAAATCCCCATCTCCACTAAAATACAAAAAATTAGCTGGGAGTGGTGGCACGTGCCTGTAGTCCCAGCTATTCAGGAGGCTGAGGCAGGGGACAGAGGTTGCAGTGAGCCAAGATCATGCCACTGCATTCCAGCCTGGCGAAAGAGCAAGACTCCATCTCAAAAAAAAAAGTAAAAGCAAGTAAAACAAATGAAATTATAATATATTTTATTTAACCCAATATACTCAAAACATTATTTCAATAAAGAATATGAAGAAATTATTAGTGTAATATTTTATATTCTTTAATACTAAGTCTGAAATTCAGTATGAATTTTACATGTACACCACATCTCAATTCAGACTAGTCACAGTTCAAGCGCTCACTCATCACATGTAGCTAGGGGCCTTCATATTAAACAACACAGGTTACAAGAACTCAAAAGTACCAAATGTGTGACTCAAAATTTCACCTAAATGTGTGACTAAAATTATACCTAATTTTGGAATATATTTTCTGAATATAATTACGTATAATCCTCTGTAGTAATACTGTCTCTCCATAATCTATAAATAAAAATAATCTATTAGGATACAGTTAAGTACTGTCTCTTGCTACATGTACCAGCAAAACCCTCAATGACAGGACTTGAGGTCTTTTATATTCTTCCATATTTTGAAAAATAAAAGAAAAAAAATTAGCTTCAGTTAATATGCCTAGAAGGAAGTCTGAAATAAAAGTCGTCTATAAAAAAGACTGTATCCTAACCTACGTCCCAGATAACAATAGTCAAGTAAAAGCCACATGCCACAACTTCAAAATCAATGCTATATTCCCATAGCCAAGGTAGCACTCATAGTTGACAGGCTTACTTTAACTACTATTCAGAAGAAACAATGTGTCTTTACATGCTATCCAACAATGACTCATAATTCAAACATCAGGCTATCTCAGCTTTAGGGATTTAATATCCCTTCTAAATTTTTTACCTCCACCAGAACACTATCAATTTCACTAAACAAATATTTACTAAACATAGGTATAAGGCTAGACATTGAGTGGGAAAATTAATAAGACATATGGTTCCTGTCTGTATTCAAATTGCTCACTAGTAATGAAGTATGGAGAGGCAAACATGAAAACAATTACAATACAATATGACAAATGCTATAAAAAAGTAGGTACAAGATGATAGGGAAACACATAAAAGGGAGCAATTAATTCTGCCTCCTTTGGGAGAAGTATTCAAAGGTATTATAGAATAGCTCTGGTCATACTAACAAAAGATTTTGGCTGATCTGTTTTCCTCCCACTCCATCATTTCCACTCTCGTCATTCCATTGTTGCCATTCTCACATTAATATTTCCCTTGTCCTTAAAAATACCTAATTGTGGTTGTGGTGGCTCATGCCTATAATCCCAGCACTTTGGGAGGCCAAGGCAGGCAGATCACCTGAGGTCAGAAGTTCAAGACCAGCCTGACCAACATGAAGAAACCCCGTCTTTACTGAAAATACAAAATTAGACAGGCATGGTGACACATGCCTGTAATCCTAGCTACTCGGGAGGCTGAGGCAAGAGAATCATTTGAACCCAGGAGGCAAAGCTTGCAGTGAGCTGATATCGCACCACTGCACTCCAGCCTGGGCAATAAGAGTGAAACTCCATCTTAAAAAAAAAAAACTAACTGTACAATGACTTTGCTCAATTATCTTAATTCCTCCATTCACTAATTCCCTCTTATTTTTATACTTTCAAGTGAGAGTAAGATAATATTTTAAATGGGAAGAAGGAGTTAAGATATAGCATTATACAAACTTTGCAATGCAGACATTACTACCGTCATTCTTTTTGGCCACCCATTATCTAAATCCCCATTTGTACTTTGGGATTTCCCCCTATGAAGAAGTCTGAAAAATACCAGAGACTCACTTTCCCAGTTGCCCTTGAAAATAATTCACAAGCATAGGACCAGGGCTCCCTAATTTACCTAAGTCTCTTTCTCTCATCCATTACTACCAAACTAGTAGTTTAATATATCATATATCTATTATCTCACAGTTTCTGTATGTCAGGAATTAAGAGTACAGCTTAGCTGGGCGATTCTGGCTCCGGGTCTCTCACTAGTTTGCAGAGCTCTCACTAGTGCTGTTGTCATTTGAAGGCTTGACTGGGGCTGGAAGAGCTGCTTCAAAGATGGCTTCCTCAATGGTTATTGGCAAAAGGCCTCAGTTTCTCACCATATGGACCCTTCCTTAAGACTGCTGAGTATCCTCACCATGTGGCAACTGGCTTCCCGCATAACAAGAAAGCAAGACAGAAAATGCTTACATGACTTAGCTTCGTAAGTCATTCTGATATTTTTTCAATTTTCAATTGGTTACACAAGTCAGCCCTATTCAATGTGGGAAGAAAGCACAAAAGAGCATAAATATAAGGAGGTGGAGACCACTGACAGCCACCTGGAGGTTAATGATCTCATGTGACATATGTTCAACACACAAAGTTGAGCAAAAAATGAAAATGTAAAAGGGTATGTTTATATGATATATTAGTTATAAACATATATATAATGTAGCATCTTAAAGAAGATGGGGACTATGTTTACAAGTACATTTGTAATGTTTATTTCTTAAGATGGGTGATGTGAACATAAGTAATATATTTTTTTTTATCTTTTTTTTGCATCTGAAAGATTCATTATCAAAAACTGATGCTTTGGGCCAGCTGCAGTGGCTCACGCCTATAATCCCAGCACTTTGAGAGAATGAGGTGGGTGGATCACTTGAGGTCAGGAGTTCAAGACCAGCCTGGCCAACATGTTGAACCCAGTCTCCATTAAAAAATATGCAGACTCCATGTTTGGGTCCCCTTCCACGAACACTCCCTTCATGGAAGCCATCTTCCTCTCTCCTGGATTTTCCCTCTGGAGTACGCTTCCACACTCTCTCGTGGAAGCCTATCTTCGCCTCCTAAACTCCATCTCTCTCTTTATTCCCTAACACTCTCATGACCATCTTTCTGGATTCTCTCACTCAGTGTGAGAGTTAGCTGTTTCTTTCTCTCTCCTTCTCCTGTTTCTGTCTCTCTTTTTAAATCACTTTCTACTAAAAAAAAAAAAAAAAAATTAGCTGGACATGGGTGGCACACACCTGTAGTCCCAGCTATTCAGGAGGCTAAAGCAGGAGAATCACTTGAACCCAGGAGGCGGATGTTGCAGTGAGCCGAGATCACGCTACTGCACTCCAGCCTGAGCAACAGAGCAAAACAGTTTCCAAAACAAAACAAGGAAACAAACAAAAAAAGCCTCAAAAACAAAAAACTGATGCTTTGCTTAAAGGAAATCAGTATTTTTAAAGACATTATTCCTGAACACATTCATTAACACAGCTGTTTTAGAATGACTATTTGGAAGTATCCATAATACATGTGTGTGGACTCAGAAATCTGTCCCAGTGAAATAACTCAAATAAGCAAGGATCTACATACTGAAATTAATCACAAAATTGGGAGCCGCCTGCCAGTCCTTTAACAATGCGGGGGTCCGCTTGGCCAGAGCTGACACTGCACTTCACAGCCGCCAACTCTTTGCAGCACTAGCTGGGCCGACGCCCCCTGGCAAAACTGGGGCTGTGAGGGCCACAGGGCCAGGCTGCAATTGCCATGTCTGGCTGCGTGCACCTCAGGGTCCCACGGGGATGGAGAGGTAGTGATGGTGAGGAGAGCTGGCTGCCAATATTCACCAAGCACTTGGTACAAAGAGCTGAAGTTGCTCTGCTACAAAGGCTAGTCCCTTCAACTGAGTCTCAGCCAGTATTTTGCTGACTAGACTGCCATTGTGAGTGATCACTTCATGCTTTGTCCTTCTACCTAGCAGAGTGCTATTTACCGGAACTGTTTATGGATTGCTATGACATCTCTATCCAGCAGCTGTATTTACCTAAAGTTTCTTAACTGCTTCTACAAAGTAAATTTGAAGAAAAAGAAGATAGTGTGCCTAAGCTGGAACAGCTCAACAGTCTAGATTGTATAACTAATATGAAGGTAGTATTAACGAAATAAAATTTGCTACATATGTAACTATTATTAGAAACCTATCAGTGGAAGGGACTTCTGCCTTTCAACAGCTGCCCATTTCATTGAATACACTCTGTCTGAAGTAGTACACAAAACAGATCTTCATGATGGCTGGCCAAGAATTTGCCTAGAAAAGATTAAACACTACATGGCCAAATACACAGATTTCCTGGAAGTACTGCTGTAAAATTGCGCCTTTCTAAATTATTCACCTTCTTCAGTGGCTGCTACATGTATGGCTTCTTCAAAGATTAGACTTCGTCCTTCTCCAACATGGCCTATAAGACTACATTATTACATTATCTTACTGCTTACTCCGGGGATTTCTTACTGCAGTGTACTAAACAGCTATTGACTGCTCATGATAATGATGTGAAAGCAGCAGAGAGGACAGGCAGGACCTCGGTTGGCACAACTAAGTGTGTTCCAGGTAGCCTCCCAGCCCTCACAGGCAGTTCACTTTCAGCAACCTCAGCATGTTCAACAGTCACATAGTCCTCACCACTGTTATCGCCATCCTACATCAACCAAGCTGTCTACAGATGGTATCTACCACACACCTCATCTTACATGCTACAGACATGTCCTCCCAGCTTCCAAACCAGTGTTCAGGGCCTTAGGCACATGCGGACTGATGGTGTTGGGATGTCACTCACTGGCAATGCAGAAGTTAAGCCCTGTCTGAATGTTTCTTATAACCAGGGCGTTCAGACAAATGAACATTACCCTTATATTACTCCATGCTTTTAAAGGCAATTATGTGTGAAAATAATAACTGACCCAGACTGCTTTGTGACTTGAAGCTCTGAGTAAGCTTTTTGTAAACTTCTGTTCAAAAGTAAAGAGATTCAAATGACATCAGTTCTCTTCAGATACCAGCACCAGAAGACTGAATATCCCTTTCAATGCACCACTAATAGCAGGGAAGACTAAATAAACACTTTGACAATGTGTGTGTCAAATTTTGTTACAACAAATCCCTGTATGACAAAAATGTTCAAGTCCTGGCTAATAGTTCAAATATTTCAAAAATATTCAATACAAAGGAAAATTTGGACAGACTCTAATTTAGCATTTTGAGATCTGACCTGTGATAGATTCTGGGCCTAACATTGCCTTATAGGTCAAAAATGAACGTTTATCTTGGACTTGCCAAACAGTTTTTTATGATGTAAAATTAAAGTTTTAATTTTTGAAGAGTTTTTTTTATTCTACAGTTTTGAGTTTTATTTTTGTTCTATAGATGAAATTTTGACTAAGTTTAAAGTCATGAATTGCTATGCTATACCAATCTGTACAGTAAAAAAAAAAAAAATTTAGACTGTTCTATATAACTTCCTATTAAAAATAGTAAATGTATATTGATTTATGTACTAAAATTAAGGCTGGAGTAGATCTCTTATTTTTAAAAAGACAAAAACAATCAGGCCAGGTGTAGTGACTCACACTTATAATCCCAGCACTTTGGGAGGCCACGGTGGGTGGATCATGGTGGCCAGGAGTTTGAGACCAGCGTTGCCAACATGACAAACCTCTGTCTCTACTAAAAATAAAAAAATTAGCTGGGCATGGTGGCACACACCTGTAAACCTGGCTACTCAGCAGGCTAAGGCACAAGAATCACTTGAACCCAGGAGGCAGAGGTTGCAGTGAGCCGAGACTGAGCCACTGCACAATCCAGCCTGGGCAACAGAGCAAGCAATACTTTGTCTCAAAAGAGAAAGAAGGAAAAAAAGGGAAAAAAGAGAAGAAAAGGAGGTGGGAAAGGGAAAGGGAAAGGGAAAGGGAACGGGAGAGAGGAGAGGAGAGGAGAGAGGAGAGGAGAGGAAACTTTCCACAATGCCCATCAATCAGAAAATAAGCAAATAAATTATGACACTACCCTACAACAGAATGTGATCAAGCCACTAAAAACAACATGGTTCCCAATTTGATGGAGCCAATCAAATATAGGTAAAGAATAAGATATACATAGAATATAATATCATTTTTTGATAGGCTATCAAACTATTAACAGCTACCTCAAAATAGAATGTAGCAAGGGAAATAAAAACAGAGAAAGTAAACGTTTCTACTTTAGAGACTTCTGTATTTAAAATCTTTTAGTATCATGTAAGCCTTTCGTAATTTTGTTTTAAAAAGGTGGTTAAGGCTGGGTGTGGTAGCTCATATCTATAATCCCAGCACTTTGGGAGGCTGAAGCAGGTGGATTGCTTGAGCCTAAGAGTTCAAGACTGGCCTGCGCAACATGGCAAAACCCTGTCTCTACAAAAAATACAAAAATTAGCCAGGCATAGTGGCACACACCTGTGGTCCCAGCTACTTGGGAGCCTGAGGCAGGAGGATTGATTGAGTCTATGAGGTTAGAGGCTGTAGTGAGCCATGATTCAGCCACTGCATTCCAGCCAGGGTGACAGGGCAAGACCCTGTCTAAAAAAAAAAAAAAA